GGTGGGGGTAGAGTATTATTATTTAATATTAAAAAAAAATTTTGTTACTTGATTTGTGAATAATTAGACCTTATTCTTGATTTTAGCACAATGATTTTTAAAATTGGGTTGTAGTGTAATTTCCACTTGATTAAAATATATTAAAATTTTGATTTTATTCTCTATCAAATAGAGTCTAACAATTTAAAAAAAGGCCAGGCAGTGTCAGCCCTCCCTCCAACAGGTGGCGCCCCCTATTTTTAGCACCGTCCTTAGGCTTGGCGAAGGAGCAGGGTTGAAGAATTTATTTGTCCTCGAGGCCAAGTCCAAAGACTTTGTTTCATAGGGAGCCCACATAGCAAACATAATCATGAAAATATAGAAAGAGAATCTAAGAGGCAAACTTTTTTCTTCATGTCATCATTATGAAACTTTGTAAAAAGAAATCCTTATGGTTACACTATGACGTAATAATTCTTAGCACACATAGCTCCGTATTTGCTTAAACAAGCAAAGATGACACATATTAAGCTTATGACAATGGATCGCAAGCTAAGCATAAGTACCAACTTATTTAAATTGTCTCCTTGGAACAAATTATTTGGGAAATTTTTCTTGGTAAAAACGTAATATTATCATTTTTTTGCCAGCTATAAAGAATTAAGTTGGATTGAAATTTGAATCTTTTATTAATATAGCGATGAAATGAATCAAATAATCAGAAAAACTCATAAATTTATTTAATATAATTTAATTTATTAATTTTATTACTGTTAAGATTTGAGATACATCTTAATAAGGTCAACCTTATTAAGAGGAGTGACCCAATATCTATTTAGATTGATCAATATTTCGGTATTTAATCGATGTGAAATTTATTCCCTTAACATGCCTCCGCAAGATGGTGACTCTTTTGAACAAATCAATTTTGAGATCCGTATCCTCATTTTTGAGACTTAATCGGATCGAATAACTCGTTGAAGTTTACTGGGCTCTGACACTATGTTAAGATTTGTGGTCCATTTTAATAAGGTCAACCTTATTAAGAGGTGACCCAAGATTTATTTAAGTTGGTCAATATTTCGGTATTTAACCGATGTGGAATCTATTCCTTTAACAATTACTACAGTAAAACATGAAATTAAAAAGGGTCACTTACCGGTCACTAAATATATTCCAATAAGCAGTAGAATTTTGTTGATCAATTGTTAAAAAAGTTAAAATCTGGAAGGCATGTATATCTGAAAAAAAAGAGAGTTTAATTTAAGCATGATTAGCTTAAGCCATGTTGGGTATATATACCACTTAAGATTAATTAATTAGAAAAACGAATGAGTAAACGAAAGACGCTTGCTGACTTTAACGATTGCAACAAAATAAAATAAAATAAAAAATTGAAAAGGTAAAACGTCAAAAGTTTTCGAAACTTTTGTTAAAATCAAAAGAAATAAACCCATTGTAGACCATTAAACCAGAATTTGACTTTAAAAAAGTCAAGCTCCAAAATCATTGAAGTTGACAAAAACTTAGTTGGGTAAAATAGTTGATTTATGACCTCAACACATAGATATATATTTGTTCCACTTGGTTATAATTTCTAAGATTCAATCTCGTCACACGAATTAATCGATAATCTAACTTATAGGATTATATGTTGCAAAGAATTATATAAAAAAAAAAAAAAAGAAAAAACAATCTTTTATTTGTTGCTATTAAGTTATATTCAGCAATGCTTGATACACATTAATAAAGATATTTTCTCGATTGAATAGACACTACCGAAAAAACTATGTGTAGCATTTTCCAAAACATAAGAAATAAAAAAATCTTTCGATAATCTAACTTATAGGATTATATGTTGCAAAGAATTATATAAAAAAAAAAAAAAGGAACGACGATCTTTTATTTGTTGCTATTAAGTTATATTCAGCAATGCTTGACACACATTAATAAAGATCTTTTCTCGATTGAATAGACACTACCGAAAAAACTATGTGTAGCATTTTCCAAAACATAAGAAATAAAAAAAATCTTTCGATAATCTAACTTATAGGATTATATGTTGCAAAGAATTATATAAAAAAAAAAAAAAAAAAGGAAG